TTAGTAGATTGTAGTTGGGTTGTCGACGATAGAGCATGTAGTAGGGGTTGTTGTGTAGGGACGACGTGGGGATGCGATTAATGAGAAAGACATAGGTGAGAAGAGCCTTGTCCCAAAAAGACTGAGGAAGGTTGGCGTCGATGAGTAAGCTGCGAACTGTTTCAATTATGTGCCTATGCTTACGCTCAGCGACTCCATTTTGAGAGGGAGTATAAGGACAAGTATATTGATGTATAATTCCATGTTGTTTGCAAAATAATTGAAATTGGCGATTGATGAATTCGCCTCCACCGTCGGAGCGAAGAGTTTTAATGTGAGTAGTAAATTGACGGGTAATCATGTTTGAAAACTCAATAAATTTATAGATTGCCTCAGATCTATTGGTAATGGTATAAACCCAATAGTATTTTGAAAAATCGTCGATAAAAGAGACATAATATTTAGAACCGTTCATAGAAAATGTGGGGGACGGACCCCAAACTTCCGAGTGAACAATTTCAAATAAAGATTTAGTAGAGTGTGTAGATTTATTAAAAGGCAGCCGGTGGCTTTTGGCTAATCGGCAAGCATTACAATGAGATGAATTAGTCGTAGTACATAAAGAAGCGATATGTTTTGAAAGCTGGTTGGTTATGGCGGCGGCAAGATGACCGAGACGTTTGTGCCAAAGATGAGGCACGTCTTGAGTCGAGATGAGAGCCAAATTGTGGTTGATAGATGAAGACTGAATGGGATAGAGACCGTTAAGGCAAGGTCCCTTGAGTAGAAGACGACCCGTCGTCGAATCCTGGATTTGAAATTCATTAGGAAAGAACTTGACAACGCAATTATTGTCAGATGTGAGCCGGTGAATAGAGATAAGATTGAATGATAAGTTTGGAACATGATAAAGATTGCACAAATTAAGATTACCTTGCGGGGTGGGTAAGATTCCTTTACATGTATGTTGGATGGGAACTTGGTAGCCGTTGCCGAGAGTGACTTGATGAGATCCCGCATACGGTTTCATAGCTTGAATGTGAGACGAGTCGGAGGTGAGATGCGTAGAGGCGCCGCTGTCAAGGTACCAATCGGCCGAACTATTGGATTCGGAGGGAGTGAATAGAGCGGTTTTCTGAACTTGGGATTCTTCGGTATAAGATGTATTATGACGGTATCAACACTTGATAGCGGAGTGGCCGGTTTTATTGCAAATTTGGCAAGTGATGGCTGCTTGGCCGGATTTGGCACAACGATGGGAAGACGTTTGAGAGGTACGATTGGAAGGAGGAGGACGTCCGCGATAAGAATTGTTCCTACCACGACCTCGTCCGCGGGTAGCGACGAGTGCTGTAGACGAATCAGTAATATGCAGATTTTGAAGTTCATGGGCTGAATCTTGAACAAGATTTTGTTCCTCACTACAAAGGAGGGTGTATAGGGTGTCAATGATGATGGGTTGAAGATTAGTACGAATAGCGGTCTTGAAGAGTTGATATTGAGCCAGTAATCCATTCAAGGTGCAAAAGATAACTTCTTCAGGATTTAATGGAGATCCGGTGGCTGCGATGGCGTCCACCTTAGATTTGACGGCAAGAAGATATTGAGTCATGGTTTGGGATTTCATAGAGAGATGATTGAGTTAATTACGAAGCTGAATAGCGCATGAGCGAGTGGAGGATTGAAGGCGTTGGGCTAAGGTTTCCCATATGTCGACGTAGTGATCCAAAGAGAGAACATAGGGAAGAATACTCGGGGAAATGACCGAGTATAGGGCGACAGCCAAGTTTTGATCAAGAAGATTCCAGGACATGTAAGAAATGGAAGATGAAGAAGATGGTTCTTGGGTAGAGGGGCAGCGACAGCTGCCGGTGAGAAAACCCTCAAAACCGTCGACTGTGAGGGGAAGGGAAATGATGGATTTGATATTACCTAGGAATTTGAGTTGAGGTGGAATCGTTGGGTAGCTGGAAGAAATGGTGGATTCTTGTTGTTCTTCTTGCATGGCCGTGCCTTGTGATGCCGTCGGAGTCTCCATGAGGAATGTGCGAGAGATTAGATGCCACAGAGAGGAGAATCAGTGAAGCAGCTGTAGCAGAGGTAAAGAACCGCCTGCTCTGATACCATGAAACATTGAGCCTGAAGGAGACAGCGGACAGAGCAGCAAGAGGAAAGAACATATAAAGAGAATGTAAAGAAGTATGATTCATTCCAAGTTAACAGTATTACACAATGGCTTGTATATATAGCCCGAAAGATAAAGGTAAAACCACTAGTATAATGACACCTGTCCAAGTTACAAGAATTGGTAATAGATACAGTAATATATGTGTAATACTAAAGAGGCTTTTTTTAGATTTTTGTTCAGATAACCTTTGGGCCTGATGAGAATATGAGATTATGCGGTTCTGAGCATTTAGGGCTTTCAAAGCTTAGGGCACTCAAAGAGTTGATTCACTGTTGATAACACCTTGATAATTGAATCTCCAAGAAGAGAATTTTTAAGATTGGATATTATTTGTCTTATTATTTCTTGGATAATCTCTTATTATTTGTTAGCCACATAAATATGGATAAATTTCTAACCAGTGCTTATTTTTTAAGCCAAAATTTATGCTCATGATTATCATATATATATATACAGCGAGGGGGTTCTTCGGATAGGTGAGCTTTATAAGAGGTTCATGGTAAGGCTCTTGTCGAATAGTGTAGAGATCCTGATAGTGATGTTTGATGATTGGATTAACTTTGCTCTTGGACTCGACAATAATCATAGTGAGGGTCAGCAACCTTAAATGACTCACCATAGCAACTTCTGACGAGACATGCAATAGCTAGTGGGTGTTAGTGTAATAGGCTTTGGACGACATGAGCTCATTTTAAGTTCAAAAAGGACGAAATGGGGCATTAATTATATAATCTAAATTATATTTTCTTTAGGTTAGATCTTTTACGTTGTTTATTGTTTTGGGCAATTAGTGAAAAAGAGTGTTTTGCTTTGAAAGCGGAGTTAGTTATTTTTTTTTTTAAATAAAGGAAAATTAGAGAGAAAACAAGTCAAGAGAAAGAAGGAAATATTATTGAGAGTAGGGCTATCATCGAGTCGAATGTGAGCGAGCCACTATCAACTCATTGAAAATTTTGATTTTGAGTCGAGCTAAGTCTCTTAATTTTGAAAAATATTTTCTAAATTCCTAAATGGATTATATTTATGTTTTTTTCTTTTTTTTATAAAAAACTTGTACAAATGTGTGTGTATATATATAAATGAAATTACACAAATCAATGTGTATTCTTACATTGAATAGAGTTGAGTTTTTGTTGAAACGAGTTAATTTTTAGCAATCTATCCTTGAATCAAAGAAAATTTAGTTTGAGTTAGTGGTTATCACATACATAAATTTTATAAAAAATTGTCAATCCCGTTGGGAACAATCTTATATGGGGTATTTATATTTCTTTGATTTAGTGGAATCACTATCACTTTGCGGTACATAGAAGTTGAAGCCAAATCATACAAATCTTGGTAACTTTGTGTTTTTATTTTCTTTTTCTCTTTGGTGTTTACTTCCGGCTCATTATTCTCGCTCTTAATTATACTTCCACATCATGTCATTTGGTGCCTTTCATGCAACATATGTCATGCTTTCCGAGGCTAAGAGGTAATTTATTAATGTATGACTGTTATTGGGCCTGTGAATGAAAAAAAAAAAATTCATCTTTTGAGCTCTTAGTTATTGCTTTATCTATCTTAAATAGCAGTCCTCTTGAAACAATACTGATGTTAAGAGGAAAGGCCCCCAATATTTTTTAGCTAGTTCATGTTTTTGGTTTGTCTCTTAATTAACATGCCTCGTCTATTGTGCTGTTATTTAAATTCTAAGCCACAACAATGTTGATTTCCCTAGGCTACCTTAATTGATTCACTGCTGTAGGATTTTGATACCTTGGATCCATTTTGGCTTCAACTGTGTTGAGAAGTTGTCTTCTTTGTCTACCATGTGAATCTAGGCCTGTTGTTTACCTAGATAATCAGCAATGTGCTATTCTACTTTGAAGTCTATACCACAAAGTGTTTATCGTCTTTTAAGGGTTTATTTTCCCTTTGGATAGCCATTATTTTTTTGAATCAATCCACTTGAATCTAAGTCTGCCTGTTTCTCTTAAACATCATTCAACCCTGTAAATAGTTTCATATCCATTTCAGCTTGAACTTAATTATTTTTCTTGTATGTACTTGCATTACTTGTCTTTTTCTAATGTGTGTTTTCTACAGTTTATGTTACAATGATGCTCAGTTTGCTTAAATTCTACCATTTATTATGTGAAAGCTAAATGAGAACATTGTGATAGGCCAGTTCCTCCTGAACCGGCCCAACCAGCCCGTCCGGGGCCAGTTCATGTGTATAGGAGGTAGTACTGCCCGCCTCCTCTAAGTTTGCCACCCACAATAGTGGTTAGGGCTTGGGAGGGCTAGGGCTATTCTTAAATTTGAAGAGGGGTGGCTAGGGCTTGGGAGGGCTTAGCATGACATGATTTAGGATTAGGACATGCTTGATTTGATTTCTATTGAGGTTCCTTGGCATCTTGGGCTCTAGACTACCTTGTCTAGAGATTTGGGAGAGACGATCCTCCTCTCGAATTGAGGATTACTTGTATCTTGTTTTTGCGCTTGTTTGGCTTTGATTCTCTTATTACAATCCATTGTTTTGGGGCTGATTTCACCAAGATATTGCATTATTCTCGATGTTTTCACCAATTAGTGATAGATTTGCTTACGAACTCAAGTATTACCCTTAGGGTTTCCTGTGAACTCAAGTATTTCCTATCACATTGCTGATATTCTTATTATATCGTGACCAATTATTTAATATGTGAATTATGTGCTTAAGAAAGTACTATAATGCGTAGAGCTTTTATTTTTTTGTATACTATTTTATATTTATTTGAAATTTTTTACTTGGAAGTATGATTTATTAAAATTTTCATCAGGGGTGTATCATATTTAATCTATTTTGCAGTGTCACAGTTATTATTGCCTATTTGATGAAGCAGCATCAAATGAGTTTATCGCAGGCATTTTCACTTGTTAAGAGTAAAAGACCAAATGCAGGACCTAATTCTGGCTTTATGACGCAATTGCAAAATTATGAGAAATCTCTTAGAGGTAATATTTTTTGCTTACGCTGTATGTGTTTTGAAACATATTTTTTCTTTTCTGCTTTGCATTATGCCATTTTTTTAACACTCAGTCCTATGTCATCTTAAAAGCTATCATATTCTATTTTTGTTGTGGAGACTGACAACTCTTTAAACTTCATATTAGCCTCATAAGTATGGTGCATTCAGCCCTTCGATAGCACTACACATGAACTCTAGTTCTGATCATAGGCGGATCCACCTTAAGCTCAAGGGGATTGCCCCTCTGAAAAAAAAAAAATTATGTGATTATTTAGGTAATTTGTTCCCCTTAATCTATTTTTTTAGTCTTTATTACATGAGTTTTTAGGCAATTGCCCCACTTAAAAGTTTTAAAATACCTCAATCTTTAGGCAATTGCCCCTAGCATAATCAAACAAATTGTGTAGATGTGTTATTGTTAGGAAACAATGAATGAAATACAAAGAGAAATAGTAAAGAAAATCCAAAAATATCCTTGCAACCAAAATTTGTTCCCTGCCAAGGGGGGCTGCCCCCTTGGACCCCCGACATATCTGCAAAACGTATAATGATCAAAGATATGAATAAATAGGAGTCGAGCCAACTTCAACGAAGATAAAGGTAATCACAACTATATAATGAAAACCTGCCAAGATACAATAATTGGTAATAGATACAGTAATACTATGTGTAAATCACTAAAGGAGGCTTTTTTTAGATTTTTGTTCAGATAACCTTGCCTGTGCAGAATACAGAGATTAATGCGCTTCTGAGCATCTTAGGGCTTTCAAAGCTTAAAGGGCACTCAAGGTTGATTCACTGTTGATACCCTTTGATAATGAATCTCCAACGAATGGCGAATTTTTAATAGTTCGGATATTATTTGTCTTATTATTTTTGGAGATAATCTCTTAATTATTTGTTACCACCATAAATATGGATAAATTTCCTAACCAGGGTTTATCTTTTTAACCCAATAATTATTGCCTCATCGATATATATATATATATATATATATATATTATATATATATATAATAAATATGGTCAGGTTCTTGTCGAAATAATGTATGAGATCCTGATAGTGATGTTTGGATGAATCTGGATTAACTTTGGCTCTTTGGACTCCAGACATGAATTCATAGTGAGGGTCAGCAACTTAAATGACTCACCATAGCAACTTCTGATGAGACATTCAATATGTAGTGGGTGTTTAGTGTAATAGGCCTTTGGACGACATACTCAATTTTTAAAGTTCAAAAGGACGAAATTGGGCATTAATAAGTTAATTATTAAATTATATTTTCTTTAGGTTAGATCTTTTACTTGTTTAATTGTTTTGGGGCATTTAGTGAAAAAGAGTGTTTTGCTTTGAAAGCGAGTTAGTTTTTTTTTAAAATAAAGGAAAATTAGAGAGAAAAACAAGTCAAGAGAAGAAGGAAATATTATTGAGAGTAGGGCTAATCATCGAGTCGAATGTGAGCGAGCCACTATCAACTCATTGAAAAATTTTGATTTTGAGTCGAAGCTCAAGTCTCTTACTTTTTGAAAGAATATTATTCTAAATTCTAAATGGATTATATTTTGCATTTTTTTCTTTTTTATAAAAAACTTGTTACAAAATGTGTGTGTATATGTCAATATAATATATGAAATTACACAAATCATGTGTAATTCTACATGAATATAGTTGACGTTTTTGTTGAACGAGTTAATTTTAACAATTCCCTTGAATCAAAAGAAAATTTAGTTTTGAGTTTGAGTGGTTATCACATACTAATTTGTAAAAAAGTTGTCACCCATTGGGAAACAATTATCTGCGGGTATTTATATTCTTTGGATTTAGTGTAATCACTATCAACTTGCGGTACATAGACAGTTGAAGCCACATCATACAAATCTTGTAACTTTGTTTTTTTATTTCTTTTTCTTTTTGGTTTCTACTTCCGGCTCATTCTCTCCGCTCTTAATTATACTTCCACATCATGTATTTGGTGCCTTTTCTGCAACAATGTATGCTTTCCGAGGCTAAGAGGTAATTTATTAAGTGTATGTGTTTATTGGGCTGGGAATGAAAAAAAATTCATCTTTTGAGCTCTTGAGTTTTTTGCTTTTATCTATCTTAAAATAGCAGTCCTCTTGAAACAATACTGAAGTTGTTAAGAGGAAACGGCCCCAATATTTTTTACTAGTTATGTTTTTGGTTTGGTCTCTTAATTACATGCTCGTCTATTGTGCTGTTATTTAATTCTAAAGCCACAACAATGTTGATTTCCCTAAGGCTCTTACATTGATTCATTGTTGTAGGATTTTTGAACCTTGGATCCATTTTGGCTTCAACTGTGTTCAGAACGTGTCTACTTTGTCTACCATGTTAATCTAGGCCTGGTGTTTTACTGATGCGTTCCGCCTCGATCTTAGCAGAGGGGGGGCCGAAGACCCCCAGGCGAGCGAAACGGCGGGGGAAGGGAGCCGCGTCGTTCGGCAGCTCGAAGGGAAGCACGGAGCGTAGGCGGAGCGACGCGGGCGGGTTTCGCCTTGACGGACCGGTCCAATCCTGAACGGTTTGGCTCGGGTCTGCCTGAGATTGGGCGGTCATTTTGGCAGCCACTAGTGGTTTCGTTGGTCTTTTGGTTTGCTATAAGTAAGGATGGGGGAGATTTCTTTAGGGTTATGCAAGATTTGATGTTTTCTTCTTAGCCTCTTAGTCCTTACCTCTTTGGGGGTTTTTCGTTTCTACTTAAGGGGTCTTTTTTTTGTAGTGGGAGACACTTTGTCCCTTCTCGAAGTGGACAAATTGTATCTTGTTTTTACTCATTGATTTTGAATGCAAAGGTTTTGGTTCTTGCATACTCATACTCTTTGTTCTGAATTTTTTCCTTGCTTGGAGGAGAAATACATGATTTTGAAGGAAATAGGTAACTATTTGTGAACTAGAGGCGTATCAGTTGGTATCAGAGCTCTCGATCCTAGAACGGCATGGCATCAAAAAGGTGAAGTTTTGGAGGGGAGATGAGCCAATTGAGAGGAAGTGGGAGAGAAGCTTTGTCAGTTGAAGGAAATTCTCATCCTAGCAGGACGAGATTTGGGGGAATGGAAGAGATGATCGGAAATTGGTATGACGCCCTAAGTTGCTCATCAAACCGAAGGAAAAGGGGACATATCGCCGATGTCAAAACCCTAACCCTAATTTTCTCGAATTAGGGGAAAGATGGAGCAAGCCAACCGGGGGAAGCATGCACAGCACTACCGCACATACTCAGGCGCAAAGACTTGGTCAAGGGAAGGGTGGGAAGCATCGCGGTGTGGGCTGTCTGCAACCGTGGGAAAGGGGGCCGCCGTCAAGGGAGGGAGCCGTAACGTGACGCTCACGGTCCCGTATGGAGGGTGGCCGATGAGAACCTGGGAAGGAGGCAAGAGATGGGCCTTGCACCAACTGAGAGCACAAGGAGGGTGCCTAGAGGTCCAGGAGGACGCCGGAGTTGGACGCACGCCACAGCAGAGGTTCGGGGGTGTTGCCGAGACAACCGAGAGCACAGCACGAAGGGGGGCGAGCCCTTTGGAGCGACCAAGAAGGGGGTCAGACCGTATATCCAGGGAGTGGAGGGAAGACCTCAGTGGGAGGGATTTCAAGCATGGGCCCATGGGAGGATGTGGAGGAATCCTCCTCGGCCAGATACAACGGATGGGAAGTTGAATGGCCCCGGTAGTTCGAAGTGAAGATGCGTACGGATGGGTCTAGCCGGTGGGCAATACTTTCGCCGTTAACGCGTCAGGAGGGAGGAAAGCTGATGGCTGTCCCCGATTCTTGCTTGTGAGGGGAAATCATTGGCTTGGTTTCCAATGGAATTGAGGGGCGAACAACCTATACGTTGGGAAGAGTTCAAGGACCTATTACTGCAAAGGTTCACGATGTCCCAGTGAGGGACCATTTATGAACAGTTTATGTCTCTTGTTCAGGAAGCAGAGTGGCAGAGTAATCCGGGAGGCGCATTTGAGCTTCTATCTGGGCGATTGAGGGAATGCCCCGATGACGCATGGAGGGGAAATTTCATGAATAGGGTTGAACCTATATCAGAGCCGCCATCATGGTGGTCAACACCCATGAGCGGATAGTGGGAATTATGAGAATAAGCTCAGCTTGTTGAGGGACAAGCCGAAGGCGGATTCACGACACAGGAAATCAGGGGGTCTCCCCCACAGCATATCGCTCACCAACTCGTGCTAACGAAGGACTTAAGGTGACTGCGTCTACTACTTTCACCACCCGAGGAGGATAAACAGGAGAAAGCCACCACTGTGGTGAAACAAAGGAGGAGTTCAAGAGACCTTGCTGACTTCCGCAATTGAAGGAGAAGAAGGATCAAGGGCTCTAACTACCGTTGCGAAACGAGAAATTTGCACCTTGCGGCATAGGTGTAAGCGAGAAGACACCACTGCCACGTGAATAGTGGTGGGACGGACTTCAAATGAGGACACAGTGAAGGGCAACAGGGAAACGGTTAGTGAGGTAGAGCATCCCTCACCTAGATATGATAGAAGTGAGTCTGTAATTCAATGGAAGGTTTACCATTCCACCCCCCACATTGAAATGGAGGGTGAAATTGAAGGGTGCAAGTGAGATTTTTTGTTTGACGTGGACCTACTCACAAACTCGGCTATCGAGTGGCGCAACAGTTGAGTCTAAAGGATGACTAACAAGCAAGAAAGGCTAGAGGTGACATCATGCACAGAAGAAGGCCGTATTTATGGAAACTGCTAAGGGAGACACTATTATCTTGCAGGGGAGGTAGTTATCAGATTTTTTTGCTGATTAGATCTGGAAAACGCCGACGTATTTTGGTATGCATGGACTTCAGTCCTTTAGGAGACATGGAGAGTCATATTGGCCGAAAGTGTTGGTCTTAAATGACAACAGAAAGGTCGGAGGGTGGACTACGGGTGAACCCTAGCCTATGTGGGTTCCCGATCCACCGAGGAATCTACATTCTTTAACCTTACGAGGACA